CGGTGCTTACAACTTTTGTAGAAAATAAATTCTACTCTTGCCCACCCTACAAAAGTTATAATAATGAAGTAAGAAGATTGGAATTAGGTGTCATGTATAATAAGACATTTTAAAACTCGGACCCTAAATTCCTGAATATCTAATACAATTAAAATAAATACAGCGGCGCCAAAGAAAAAGAAAATTCACTACGGGAAAAAATATACTTATTAGTTTGCGATCGCGAAGGCACTTTTTCGATCATATTTGCTAGCAGCTCGTATTCCTCCTTATTCTTCCGAATTCCTTTTGCAACTGACAACTCCTTCTTAGCAGCGGACATTTTTTCATTTGCCCGAACAATTTCTTGCTCTGGAAAAAAGCAAAATTTCGGCGTTATATAAAAGCAAAAATGTTAGTCAAAAAAGAGTACATGGAAAAGAACGAATGAAGCATGAAATGGGTGAATTCCTTTCAATAACGACAAATGATAAAGTGAAATGCGGCATACTACAAACAGTGAATTGTTTCATATACTGATGATATTATCCCCTACTTATCCCCACGATGTTAAATTGTTTAAAAAAAAACAGCATTCAAAAATGCTGGTGCTCTGAACACGATACTGCATGAACAGAACATGAATAAAATACGATCCCTTCAGAAAATGAAGCGAATGCAGAAAAAAACAAATTCAGCTTTGCTTAAAGCAACAAAAAAATTTTTTAAAAAATTGAAAAAATTCAGCTGTTCCTATCATACATTTTCCAAGATAGAATCTTATGTATACGAAGGTGGGGTTGCGTTTTAGGTCTCTTTTTATCTTCATCTGTTTTAGCTTTAGTAATGTTATTTTACTAACTTTAGTAATGTTATTTTGAGGTAATTACCGGAACTCGGCTCGGCTTGGCCGTGCAAAATGTGCTGGTTTTTGGGGAAGTAGCCGTTTATGGGTTTGAAAGAAAATGCGCTCGATAAAATACTCAAGTGCAGGAACAAGCTTACCAGCTTTCACTCAACATTAATTTTTTTCTTGTTTAGTATCACAAACCCATGTTAAATAGGAAGGGCAGTACGGGCCGTGAGGCCCTAATGAGGATCATATCAATAAAAAAACTATTAACAGCCCGTCCAGAGGACCGCAAACACCGGCCGATACAATCACGGGCGAAATGGGAAGGGCAGTACGGGCCGCGGAGGCCCTATAAGGATCATATCAATACAAACTATGAAGAGCCCATCCCACGTAACTCTACCCCATCCCATGATCCCTACTCTTGCATCCAATTCCTACCTCACCGCTCCTTTCCATTAAATATCCCACAATTCCCCTCTCCCCCTCCATCCCTCTCGCTTTGACCTAAAATAGCATCCCCGGTCTCCCTACTCAACCACCTCTACCCTATTCATACCCCGGTACCCGAAGAGGACATCATATCACATTTACCGCAGCTTGCCACCCAACTTGGCCAAGTCGAGACCACCCAAGTCTTAGTAACCTCCTGTTGTACAACCTTTGTATGAGGAAACAAAGAGAGAAACGCCAAGTTTTAAATTCACTGCTTATGTCTAGACGTGGCAACATATGCCAAACTACACATAAAAGCTTGTAGCCCAGTTTTATTACATATAGTTAACATGCAATTAGTTTTATGTGATATGAATTATGTTATATGAATTTTATGTTATATGCCCAATTTTGCCCAAGTCCAATTTGATGTCATATGAATTAAATCCGGAAATCTCGACTCAGTAGGTGGTTTCTTCCTGATTGTTCAATCGAGCATGGCTTCAGCAAAAAAATGAGTAGGTATTCTTAAAATGAAATTAACCGGATCCTTACAACAACAGATTTTTCTCAAACGTTACCTTGATAGTTGAAAAGAACAAACCTGCGGGCATGACCAACCTAAAGTTCGTTTCTTCAATACACAAGAATGAGATTAATACTAAAGGAATGTAAATCTGATATTTTAAGATGAATAAAATCATCCCAGTACAAAATTTTTCTCAAACGTTACCTTGGTGGTTGAAAAGAACAAACTTGCGGACAAGATCAACCTAAAGTTCGTTTCTTCAATACACAAGAATGAGATTAATCGTAAAGGAATGTATGTCTGATATTTTAAGATAAATAAAATCAATCGATACCGCTGGTAAAATCGTTAAAATCCGATCTTACATCAGTTATTTAGTTGGCCTTGACAGTTTTGGTAAAATAATAATCACTGGAAAGTAAATTACCAATCTGTTTGGTGAGAAGGGTGTACTCTTCAATTTGTTTCTCATTCATTTCCGAGATCAATACCTGCTTCCGGAGTGCTGTTTCAGCTGCATCCAGTATTTTCATGATTCGAGGAATAACGCTGAAGCAGAACAATCATTTCGTTGCATACTTTTATGCTAGAAAATCAACTCAAAACCTGGGTTTTCACTAGGGCTCTGGGAAGATCGTTTCGTGACAAACACACAGCTCGAATAACCTATGCTCGCTGATCCAGAAGTCTAATCGCCTCCGTAATCATCCTCAACGATAAGCGATGAAACTCGAAAGTATCCAAGTGAAAGTAAGACAATCAAATGCTGGGAAGGGTGTCGATGGACTTCTCT